TTTTCCTTTTCCTTTTCCTTTTTTTTTTCTACATTATCGCTGGGCAGAATAACGCGAAAGTTAAGGCTGAAATACATCATCTCCTATCTCGATTATAGTATCGCTGTACTCCGAAGGCAGATCGGTAAACGAAAGATATACGCTTTCTAGACAGAGGGAAAAGTTTTATCTGTCGTTTCAGAAATATCAATAACTGATCCCTCGTACAGTTTCTATTCCAACGTGGAAATATACGGCCAGACGAAGCTCCGTCCGCCTTTCCTATCCTTGAATACCATACAGAACATGCCCGAGTGTATCCCTTTCAAATCGAAGAAGATGCAGCGGCCTCGTACAGACATTCAGAAAGTATTCCATTCGGAATGATGGCACGTGCCGTTGCCAACGTAGATTTGCCGTTTAAAATCCAATTCGTGGTTGCTACCTCAGGGTCCCACATCTCCGTCGAATTTAGTCACCTTCACCCTTCACGATGCTGGTAAAATTAATCTAATTCAGTCGAAGATCATCGTCCCGAGAGAATCCGAGTACACCGGTGATGCTTGTCAGAGAAAATCAAGATCAGGCCGAGTTAAATTATGAATGCCGCGAATCGGAGCGCGAACATTCGAGGAACACGTCGTCGAATACTTCTCCTCTATCAGTTTATTGTCGCGTTCGACGCACGAAAACTGGAAATAAATCGAGTGAATCGATTCGTTAAGCGGTTTCGCAAATCGTCCCGATGGAATCTAACGAAGGGGGGGAAAGTTTAATTAGCCATCGCGCATAGTTAACCGCGTTCGTTAACCTGGTGCATTTGTCAAAGTTACGAGTTACAAAAGCGAACGAGAAGCAAAAACAAAGAGCTCTCTGTTGCTATACCTTCGATTGCTTCAACTCACGTTTCATATCCAGCTTCGTATAATTGCAATTTCTCTTGTCCGATAAAACATTGTGATAATAATTAGTGAAAAATCAGCGATCGAAATTGGACAAGAGCAGTCTAGAAATTGATTCGATTCGATTTCGTGCGTTCCATGCGTATGTATGTATATTAATTCCGTTAAATGTATGTCAGACAAAATTCCATCTCAATGCGTCGTTATTAAACAAGCTTTCAACAGACTCGCGCAACAAATAAACGCGTAAACAATTTCCGGCATGGTCGTGTGCTTTCTATTAAA